ACAGGGACGACAAACTCGTCAGCAACAAAACCGTGACGGTGAGGAACGGTGTTGCGCGGAACGAGCTCGTTATCAAAAATTTAGGAAGGAACGACGTACGCTCGACGCTCACCTGCAACGCGACCAATAACAACAGGTCGATACCCCTTTCGTCCACCGTCTACGTCGACATGAATTGTGAGTATTATGATCGATAAAAATGAATGATTTAAGCGATCAAAGAAATATCTCGATGGGATAGTCTCGTTGATGAAATCATTTCGGTTATTTCGAATCTTTGCTCCGTGTAGATATGAAGTGTGTACTCTTCTTCGTTGCCTCGAGACTAAAGTCTTATTGTTTGAAGGATGCTCAAGGAGGCACGAGTCTCTTTTCTAGAGACCATTGTCGTTGCTTTTAATTGACAATCTTTTTACATCTGTATATATTTTAAAGTAGTTATATAATGGTATTCAATCGTAGAGCAATATTTACTGAAGAATTCGTGGGAAATATAAATTTTGATTTTATTATTACTGTTTTTCTTATTTTTATCTATATTTTAGTATTACAAGTAGTGAATATATATATATATATTACAATGCAAATAAGAAAAAGAGTAATTATTTTGTTTAAAGACAAAATGTTAAAAATTATTTAATACTCGTTTTCTTTCTCCACAATTCTATAATAAAAGTATGAATGTAATCATCGGTTAATTTAAAGAAATGTTTACTATTTATATTTTCTTTACTATAAGAAGTAGCATGTTACTTGAACATTACAAAACTCGAAAAAGATTGGAAAACAACCCTTCAACTGATTCTAGTTTCCTTTCAAAATCGAGAATCCATTGTCAATATATTTATATACATTCGGATTTTCTCCTCATTGTCGTCGCATGGCAATAGCAAACAATTTAGATCGTGTCGATTGCAATAAAAAAAGAAGAAAAGAATCATAAATCGTTTCGTTGAAAACATATCGTGTACAAAAATTGTTGTACAATATGGCGTCAGCAATATGGTTGATAGCGTGAAGTAGATTGTGAATTTCTCACGATGAATCGTGAATTCCTATTGGAAATGGTATGTACCTTTTCGCGATACCATTTTACTATTGACAAGCTATTGCTGTGAGATGTTTATCGGAATAATAGAAAAAAGCCAATGGCCATTTTTCTCCGTTCCACGATACGAAATCGGAGCAAAATACCATGTCAATGGGTAGTGATGAAGTTTCGTTCCTTCTTCGATCTTATTTTCATACACAGGGGACAAGAATTCGATCGATTTCCATGAATAATGAGATAAAAAATATTGATCTCTTCGTTGTTTCTTTTCTTGCTAATTGAAAAGACGAAATTTCAATTTTCTCAGGGTCAAAAAGATTATTTTTTCAAACGAAAGTTGTTAATTTTTACAAAATTGATCGTTGAGATTTCTTCCTAACAATTCTTACGATAAATTTAGCCATAAATTTAAATCACAGGGGACAAGAATTCGATCGATTTCCATGAATAATGAGATAAAAAACATTGATCTCTTCGTTGTTTCTTCTCCTATTAATTGAAAAGACGAAATTTCAATTTTCTCAGGATCAAAAAGATTATTTTTCAAACAAAAGTTGTTAATTTTTACAAAATTAATCGTTGAGATTTCTTCCTAACAATTCTTACGATAAATTTAACCATAAATTTAAATAACAGGGGACAAGAATTCGATTGATTTCCATGAATAATGAGATAAAAAACATTGATCTCTTCGTTGTTTCTTCTCCTATTAATTGAAAAGACGAAATTTCAATTTTCTCAGGATCAAAAAGATTATTTTTCAAACAAAAGTTGTTAATTTTTACAAAATTAATCGTTGAGATTTCTTCCTAACAATTCTTACGATAAATTTAACCATAAATTTAAATCACAAGGGACAAGAATTCGATCGATTTCCATGAATAATGAGATAAAAAACATTGATCTCTTTCTTCTCCTGTTAATTGAAAAGACTGTTTAATTGAATTTTCAATTTTCTCAGGATCAGAAAGATTATTTTTCAAACAAAAGTTATTAATTTTTACAAAATTAATCGTTGAGATTTCTTCCTAACAATTCCTACGATAAATTTAACCATAAATTTAAATCTCTATCGAGTCAAAATTCCATTTATCTAAAATTTTGAATCGTCAATCGCTAAAACGAAGACGATCATAGATAAAGAACACGTTCTCGTTCTCGTTCGATTCGCATATCGATGTTGAGAATCTAATCTTATCGAGAGTTAGGACGAAAAAAAAAAAAAATAAATATACATTAAAATCACGATAAGATCAAAAGGAAGTACGCAAGGGTAATCCAGCCTCCCCTTGAGAATCATCTTATATTCTTTGCAAAAGAGAAGCCATTTCCACGATGCGTAAAGGAAAATGGAGAATAAGAGGGCAAAGGCGTGGCCATTATCGGGATGAATTATAGTCCATGGGATCGCCCGATATCGCCGACGCTTTCCACGAGTTGGAGAGGATTATCCGTACAACTGATTTAAAATATTTCTCGATAACGTTCACGGATCAGGAAGTGACCATTCCTCTCAACGACCTCCACCGATCGGGGCTGACTCTTCGCTTTTACCCTCTTGGAAACAAAAGCGAGAACTGATATACCGTTTATACGAACAGGGGTGCTTAAGAGGAGATGGGGATGGTTAAACGGGATGATGGTCGATCATTTGATCGGAGAGGCAGATATTTTAGATCTCACATATTTTTTTCAACGAGGAGGAGGATAAAGAATTCTCCTTTTTTTCTTTTCTTCGGATAATCTATAGGGGATGGTGCAGTTCTCTAGCAGAGTGTATGTAGATTAACGATTGAAATTCCTCTTCTTTATATCTTCTTACGTAGAATACTTTTTCTATGATTTTTTTAAGTATGAAAATTTCTTAAATAAATTTCATACGTTTGATAAAAATTTTTAAATATGTTTTAAACGATTGATTCCTTGGTACTGGAGAAAAAATTCATGGAATATTGTTTGTTCCTCGACAAAACTGCAGAAACTTTTTTCCATCGTTGAATCGTAATTTCAAATATGAATTATTGTTCGTTTTCGAAACAATTCTAATGTGGATATTTAACAGTCGTTGTCATAAACAACTATTATAAATAGAAATAACAGTATAGAACTCTATTAAGTACAATTTTTGTTCACAATTCAATCCTTTTTTCTTTTTTTATACCTTTAATTTTTTGTAAAAATACATCCAATGTATAATAATCAAACGTACGTTTAAAAATAATAGAATATTTTGAGACCAACTGGAGCTCGAAATTAACGCTCCACCTCGTAAATTCGAAAAGGAAGACCTTAAGCCGAATCCAAGCACCTAATTAACAGCCAACTAGATCTCAAACTAGGTTACGCAAACTTTTCTATACCTTTTTCCTTTTTTTTTTTTTTTTTTTTTTTTTTAGACAAGTACAACAATGTCTTCCCTCTTTTGTTCAAATTCCCCATTTAGAATCTCTGAATAGTCGAATTTGTCACGGACTTACGAACTTCTGAACAATCAATCGAGCCCGCAATCCCAACTCCTAACCGAATATCCAATACCGGGGACGATAGTAACAATTATTTGTGACAGGGTTGGACTGTTCCATCGATAGCGGTGTATTCGGCTAGCAACACGATGTCGATGGAACAACCAAGATGACTGGACCAGATTATCTTGTCTTTGGGCGTAGCAAGTTGCGGGGAGAATCGTGCAATTTGGAGAGAATGGTGAAGTTTCGAGGCTGATACCCTCGTTTCGCGACGCTCAGTTCTTAAACAAAGTTCGACCCTTATGGATAGTGGACACCGCGACGTCGTTTGTTCGAGAGTTTGTCGACGAGCATTCTGCTCGATTGTTTCGCTATTATCGTTTGTTGAGAGCACGATAGAAATTGAAATTGAACTGACTTTATATTTTTCCAACTTTGAAAACTTTGGAAAGAAATGGAATATTTTTGTAGCTTTGAAATAAAAGAATATTTTAAGGGACGAAGGATATGAAGATATTGAGAATAAAACTGTCAAAAAAATTATGTTCGAGATTAACAAAGCTTCATACTTTAAATATAGCAAAAGAATAATTCCTCGTACATGTAAAACACGAAATGCAATTTTTTGAAATTGTTGAATCTCTAGAAACACTATGAGTTTCTTTAATACAAAACAGTAACGTGTATTTAAAAATAAATGAAAGGAAAAGTTGAATCTGAAAATCTTGAAATTAATCACCGTCATAAATCAACCAAAGCAATCTACGTTCATTATTTCTGAGTTTCACGTACGCCTTATTTCTACTTCTAGTAGTTTTTCCCCTATATTCAATCATTCGTTCTTCATTCATCAACAGAGATTGTACAATATTTTATTTAAAAAACTACGCAAAAGTCCGTTAAGCGAAACGTCATTAAGAAATCTGCGAGCGAAATTTGATGAGAAAAATATAAAAAAGAATTTAACACGTGTGATATATAAATTACAAAAGAATTTTCATAAAATTAATGAAATAAGCAAGATCACTGGAATATTATATCACGCGATTATGACAAGTTTCTATTGAACGCGACAAACCTAATTCACAAATCTATTCCATCGAAACTCCTCTTTGAACAAATAATTGCGTGTAATTGCCCCAAGTGATAAGAAAGATACAAGACTTTTTTCATTGACTTTATGCAAACGGATATCCTGACTCCTGGAAGAATCATTAACATAATACATTATTTCATAAAATAATTGGCTTTGTTCTTTTCAATCCTGCTTCTGGTTTGTAATTAAACTGACAATTAATTTCAATATAATTCTATAAAAAATAATAATCAGAATTTTTCTGCTTTATTTTTCAAACGTAATATTAAATATTCCATTTTGTACGTTCGTAAAAATACTCAAATGCTCAAATTTCGAATAAACGCAATACCAACAAAAAGAGACTATTCGTATATATTTTATATATAAAAGATAAAACAAAGAACTTGACGAATTGTGCATTACGAATTAACAACTGAAAGAGATAAAAAAATTCTAGAGAATTTGCATGGAAACAGAGATGTGAAAATTTCTTTATCCTTACGTGAAATATGACGAAAAGTAAAGTACGAAACCTTTAAGAATATGGCACAATTAAGAGAGTTGTGAATGACTTGTTCGCAAA